TTCTTCTTCGCCTTAGTGCCAGCCACTAGAACCTGTCGCTGTAAAGTATCGCGCGGTACGTGAATAAGGTACCTACGGATAGATAGACTGACTGAGAGAGAGGGCGGACGAAAGCCTTCACCGTTTCGCTGGACTGGATGCCCCGGTCCCCCTTTGGTTCGGCAAGGTTCCTGTGCCCAAGGTTTTTCTCCGTACGCTGTACGATATGGCGAATCTCGGAACCTCCAAACCTCTTCGCCCTCACCTGGGCCCGCTGTATGAGGAATTGGGGGTCCATGACCTCTGGGGTCCAGTCGGCTCGCTCAGAGCAACGTGCGGGAACAAACCCGCTATCGCCCTTCTAACTAGTCAATCAGTCAGCCAGAAGTCTCCGTAACTCACCAACTGACTTACTGTCCGTACTACTCATGTAGGAAAATACTAGTGTCCCGCTGGTCAGGGTCTGTTGTTGTTGTTGTTGTTGTTTTCATGGCCGGCTCACACTGTAGGCTTGGTTAGCTTTGGTGCAATGGTGTTGGCGGTGTTCCGTCTCAATCTATCCTGTCCTATTCTCTCCGTGTCCATCGTGTCTGGCGGGGAGACCGTTGACCGACCCATCATTTGCTTCTTGTTGACGGGGCATACGGATACACAGTAGTCCAGAGTACGTTGGAAATTGGTCCCAAGCTCGGCAAGGTTTGGTCATCTCGCAACGTCCGAGGCTCGAGAGCCTTTCTTCCCTTTGATTCTGCTGATGTACCTCTCGGCCTTGTGTCGAGAGAGTGTTGTTGATGCGAGAAGGAGCTGCGTGTTGACACTGGCACTGACTCTGGTACCCACGGCTATGACAATGTCTGACCCTTTGACCCCCAGCCTCAGGGCCCGATGCGCACATGGCTTGTGCCGTTGTAACTACCCGTTGTTGCCCTGTGCAAGTCACAGGCGCAGGCGGCAGACGGGAAGGAGACGGAGGGCCCAGGCATTACCGCGGAGCCAGGTACCCCTGACAAACTGAGCGCGGCGCGATGCGGTGTGGTGTGCGTGGTGAGGTGGGTATTTCATGGTAATTGTTGTAGTGGGCATACGTAGTATGCGGCGTGCCATGGGGAGAGGAGAGAAAGGACGGCTCGTCTCGTCTTGCTCCGAGTCTCCGACTTCTCGCGTACGTTGACCAGAGGAGTGCTTCTCAGATGGCCGCAAAACGCAGTACATGGAAATATGTCTTCATATGGCATGGCCGAGCCTGCGTACTCTCTGCTAAAAGGAAGTCGTCAATTGGAGCAAAAGGTACACGCAGTACCTGTACGCTAAAGTGCCATGTCAGACCCATGCTTGTACGGAGTACTCGTGCCCATAACCCTGGGTCCTGGGTTGCCAATGAGCAAGGACCTGTCTCTAGAATAGTCAGAACTGTAAGGTAAGGTATGACTCCAGGCTCGGTAGGGGTAAAAGTACCCTGATCGATGAGGCAAGGAACCGTAACTGTACGAATACCTAGGCCAAGGATCCAGGCACCTCACCTCGATAGATGTACAGCCAATTATCCGTATTCGACAAAGGCTGGGTCCAGCTCTCCAGACTTTCCTCCTTCCTTTTTCTTCCGTCGTCCTCGCGATCACGAGCTGGACGGACAGGTCGTCATCTCTGGAAAGCAGTCGGCGCCGACAGTGTCTGCCGCGATGGATTGTGGCAGCTGGACAAGTCCACAGCGGGACCGAGGATCCTCGACGGACATTGAAGCTTCACGTTTCGCAGGGGCGGTGTCTTTGTAGACTATTTACTATTCGTACGGATACCTTACTACTGCGTACGTATAGTAGATACCGAATAGCGATGAACTGGGCCTCGATGTAAGATATGGATGAGAAAAGGGGCAAGAGGGAGAAAAGCGGCGCGACCGCCATTGTCGCCGGCCGGTGTCGCTTCAGAAAATGCAATCAGCCTGCGGTGAGTGGCCCATGGCCCGTGGTTTTTATGCTTTGTGCGTATTGCGCGGTGGTGGTGGATAATGAATTGAATAGTCTATGAAGTGATGTTTCCTCTGCAGAAATGTGAAAGGTAAGGGAAATGGTGTCAGAAGGTTGAAGGCCGAATGCCTTGCTAAGGTGTATTCTGCCTGGGAAAGAATACCAGAAAAAGGGAAGATAGTGTCAAGTTTGGCATTGCCGCATAACTTCCCTATTACCTTAGTATCATGAACTCGAGAATGGGAAGTCACGATTGCGCCATGGCATAGGTGCGTAGTAAGGTAGAGAGTACTCCGTAAGGTACCTTACCTACGGCAGGAGAGAAATGGACGATGCCTTGTATTCTTTCCCCTGCTTTCAGTGTCTATGCCTCAACCTGGAAGGTACACCCAAATGCCCAAGATGCCTCATTGCGTCTGGTTCAAGGTATGTTTCCTTTTCGGAGACGGGGCAGGGAGCAACTGGGAGGTTTGCACTCGAGGAGCACTTGCCTTTTGACTCGCAGGCACGTTGCACGTTGCATCTCGTCGCGCTGTTGGGCCACAGACGGTTTGCGGTCTGTGGTGAGTGAGGTGAGGGCTGCGGCCTGCCCGTGGTCCGTGGTCTGTGGTCGGACGCGTTTGGGAGGGAGGGGCGGGAAGGTGGCACGGGGACTACGGCTACTGCCAGAGCGGTGGAGGGAAGGAAGGGGCCCAGCCTGTGGGATAAGCCAGATGGGCAGGAACTTGTCACGCTTACCTTAGGTTGTGTAGGAAGGCGCTAGCACAGTGTCAGCTGTAATGGCGGCGTCTATCACTGGCTGCGATGCCAAAAGGAAGGAAGCCCGCCCCGTCGTTCCTGACCTGCCGTTGCCTCACACCGGTCCAATATATATTGAGTGGTCTTTCCGTCACCGTCCCGTGCGTTGCTGGGAAACACGCACAAAATCCACAAATTATCCCTCGACATCTGCATCCACGTTGTGCATCCATGACAAGTACACAGTGCGATACTACAAACCGAAAGTGTCAAATAGTAAGGTGCAGTGCACACTCAAGTAGGGTGTTTCTGCGTAATCATCTCCAACGGTATGTAGAACGGGCGGGAAGGGTTCTCCAAGGAACGCCGTTGACCACACATTCAAACACAAAACGATGGTTTCTCTTCCAGAACGCGATGCTGTCGTGTCATTGTGAGCATCAGACGAACCCACAGCGGCGTAGTTCGCGTCCAAGGTACGGAGTACCTACCTTACCTACCTTAGGGTATTCCCTTGACGTGTCATCGAGTAGGTTTCAACACAAAGATTGATCTGCTTTTGCCTCGAACATAAGGTACCGTATCAACTTGAAAGCTTTTGTTATCTTGTTTCCGACGGGCTTTAAGTGCCCGACTCTGGTGCATCCCGGATGTAGGCAGAGTTTCCTGTTGCCACCACCTAGCAGGGTCAGGAAGATGCGATAAACTGTGGTGAGTGTCGGCACTGAGGTGGGTTTCGACTGGAGGGAGGTTTTGGACCTTGACTGATACACCACCTCAGTGAATGTCGAACGCCGTGCGGATAGATGCCTTGTCTTCGGCCTACCCGCACTGTACAGCCGACCAATCACAAGATTTTCATCTGCCAGAGTGGAAAGTCATGATTGTCTGTGCCTGCAGCACCAGAGTTGTGTTGTGCAGGAATGGAGGAGACACGCCGCACGCCGCACGACACTTGCCATACACAGCAATTGTAGCCAATGGCAGCCAATGACAACCGAGGAAATGCCGATGGCACTCAGTCCCGTGTCTCCACAGTCCCCGAGTCCACGCCCGCATCTTTCATCAAAGTATTCCAATCCATTTCCACCAGCAGCGAACGAGACATGCAGATCCATACAGAGTACAAGGTACTGTGCACGTACTCCAGGGAGACTGTGCACTTGGACCTTCCCACCTCACCTTCCCTGGCACGCACTTGCTGCGGAAGGACTAAGAAGCACCTACCTTGGCAAGACTTGAGAACCTCAAAGGAATGCATACCACAGTGCCTACCTAAGGTGTCCGTACCAAGGTAAGTTTCGAGTTCCAAGACCAACGTCGAGATATCTCTTCCAGTACCCAAACTTTGGGCACGCGTCCCTGCGAAATCAACCAACTACGACCCGACTCAATACTTTAGACCGCCACTTTCTTGCCTATCTGCCTACGTTGGCAGTGTACAACGACTTGGGCTCTATCGACCTCCCGAGACTTCCAGCCAGCCACGGTGTGTATTCGCAATAGCATCAACCTATGAGAGAGTGCCTCCTGAGTCGTGGACAAGGCACTTGCAGCACAACATGCGTGCCGCCCCCATTCCTCCGCATCATATCGAGATACGAAATCACTGCACAACAAGCGCGACAAGGAATACAAGCATAGGAACCTACCGCTGAGACAGCACCGACATGGGCAATTCGCAGCCCCAGGCCTCCCCGGGAAGCATTTCAATCCTCGCAAACCTGGGGCAGTCGCACTCACTCTCACTCAATCAACACCTTCTCCTCGAGTCTCCTCCGTTTCTTTCAGCTCTACGACACAGCGTCTGCAGCGTCAGACACCGCGCGACGTCTTTCCTCAAAGGCATTGGTACCCCTGTCTCAGAAGCTCCAATTGTCGACCTCGACCCTCCTCCTTTGTCGCCCCTTGTGAAAGAATCTTGCATCGTCTCGCATTCCTGATGAAGTTATTATAAAGACTTCCTAAATACAAGGACACCGACAGCACAAAGACTCCGCATCTCTCGCGCCGTTCCGTTTCACCAAAAGTAAAGACCCTTCGGCACACCCGCCATGACGGGTCGATTCTGTGCCTGTCGCATCCATCCATTGACGATCCAGCACCTCGGACGTGGGACCCAATTCGCGTGGCACATTGTCCAGGGTCTTTGTCCTCCATCGCCATCCACGGCCGCCTCGCTCCCATGATTTCCCGTCCACCAAAGAGGTATCCGTTTGTACAGACTACGGAGTACGGAGAACGAATACAGGAACGCTACCTTGGCAATTTGCAGCGGACGAGGCCGAGTGGTCCCTAAAACATCCCCCGCAGACCATGTCTCTCCCCGTTTGGTTTCTACGTGTATCATTGCATATCCCGACACCCAAGATTCTCAAAAGAATCCAAGGTAACGCAAGATCCGGGAGCGTTTTGCGACACCAGGACATGCGTTATACGTTAGATACATGCAGTTGCCTCGCCAGCTACCTAGGACGAATCCATCACTTTGGCATTCAATGCGCTGAGAGGCTGGCTGCTGCAATGCCACCTCGAAAAGCAAAGCTGAACAGGCAAAGGAAACGACGATACGAATTGTTCGTCCGCGCTCCTGCCCGTGCCACTCGAATCCTCATCGACAATACCTTAGCCCAACACGCATCGGCTCTCCTCGCACGCGAACCTGGCCCAACTGCCCTGACGTCTTCGGGCCGTCACGCTGGGCCCAGATCTACACGCCTAGTCCTCGCACCCTTCTTCAAGATGCCCCTAGTGATGGTCGACTCCAAGGCACAGAGAGCCGCCTGACGTCGCACCTCTGCAAATCGGTGAGGATCAATTCGAGACGGAGCGAGATCGACAAAAGGACTCAGGCCCGGAAGACGCTTCTTCTGCTCCACTGCTTCCAAAGTTCCGTACCAAGGATGACGGCCGCCAATTCCTTGGTAATAACCTAGGGTTCGTGAACCCCTATTTCAGCCCCTGGCTGTCGTCACGATGCTTGCAACACACAAACCGGTCAACATCGGCCACTTGTAGCCACACACGGGAGGCGGATACTCTATCCCCTATTTCGAATTGGCAAATGGGGCGGGCAAAGTCTAGCGGCCTAATTTCCATCTCCCCGCTTGAATCCAATAGCTCCGGATTCTCTGCAACCTTCTTAGGGTCGGCAGCAGTTCCTATGATAGCAAGCATTTATACAACGACTAGAGGTTGCAAGATATTCATCCTGGGGAGAATCACGATCTCACGATTAAGTCGGGCCTGAGCTTCGGACTATGAAGGAGATGGTAGCATTAGACACTAGGATGCATCGTCGCACAAAATCGCCCACGCGCTCTCACGCGCTGTCACACGGCACTCGCCTTGCATAAAATGTGCCGGACCCTGGCGTTCCACGCTCCGCATCCCCGTTCAACATCCCTGCCGTTCACGAGATGCGAGATGGGGGATGGAGCTTAATCTTACCCACCGACCGGTGCGCTGCGCCGCCACAGCGAATGTCCCCGGAGCGGCCCCGACTCGCCAGTTTGCCTTACAAGATCCTACGGGTCGGATACATGAATGATGATGATGGGCTCAGTCTGCCTTGCTTCTACTCTCGGAAACAACCACATGCGCACATAGTCAACGGTTGAGGCCAGATGTATTACTCCTGATGGCGGTACAAATACCAATTAGGTCATTCCGACCTTGCCGAGAGCTTTCTCCGGGAACACGGAGATACAACATTGGCTTTTAAAGACGTTGCATCAAGTCAACAACCCAAGAATATTGCAGGTCACCAGTTCGTCCAAATGCGTCAATCATGCCCAGTCAGCGCTATCGATTGGCCGATCCGGAACACGATCCTACCACAATAGCTCCCTTGAGCCTGTCCAATGGTGGGTACGAGCAAGGCGATGGTGGCTTGCACAAGACCGGATTCTTCGAAGTCGCTCCCCGAAGGCTGCGCAAACTAACCAAGCCCCGTACGGATACAATGTATGATGGATGAAGAACTGCGAGACTACCAGCTTGTAGTAGAGTGGTCACATTACCACGCTCGACGCTCAACGCGATGATCTCAGAATCACTCCGTTTGCGCCGTTACAGCCGTGAGCCAACTCGCGGCATTAGTAAATATCCCATGGATGGCATTCGCCTTGTGCCAACCAGCTTCTAGGATGGCTAGAGACCGAGGCTGCGTCGCGTTTCGAGGCATGCATCACGACTTCATTCGGCTAAGGCATGCAGGGCGCGTTGCGTGGGCGCTGACATCCCTCCCAATTTTCTTGTCGAAGCAAAAGCCTTCCTACCGGTCAGTTAATATCCGTCAACCAGTACGTGAAAAGCCCGGCTTGTAAGACATTCCACAAGGGGCGCCTGGTTCCTAAACACCAATAACAAGCTTGGCTGCTCCGGCATATCGAAGTTACATTGCGCAGCTCACCGGAGAAGGCGTCTCATCGTTGTAGGCTCTCGGGCAAGTGCCTGTTCAATGTCTCGGTCAAGGTTCACAATTGTCGTTCAAGCCTAGCCATTGCCGCCAGCGGCCCAGCGCATCTGGTCTTTGAATCAGATAACAATTTACCATTCAGTGGTGTCCCTCATCTACGAGGTTCCCCAGCTCTCTGCTATCATCTCTCCGAACAGGGTTCCTAATAATAAGGTGGCAGTGCCATCTCTCATTTCACCAAACACAGTCACCCGTCACTGTACCACAAGTCACACCAGATGCGGCCTAGACCGTTTGCTGCAGTCTCTGCGCATGTGGAAGATATTGGAAATATTGCCCCGAAATCAAGACTGAAGGCGACACTACAGGATATATTGTCTACAGCATAACGTGCACCAACGATTATGCTTCAGTTGAGCCACCAGACGGAGCAGCCTCCCATCGATGTCTGTTCTTGATGTCGCGAGCCTGGAAATCTCTTGATTTTAGTTGCAGAAAACCCCCTTGGGTTCTCGTCCAGACATGGAAAGAGATGACAATCCCAGCTACGTTGACCGTGGATCTTCTCGCGATAGCCATTCTCATACCACGTGATCAACGTGACACGCGGAAGAAGGCTACATATTCCGCTTATGCAAGGCGGGAAGCAAACATCACACAAATGGGGTCAAGCCGGGGCCCACGACCATGGTTCACTCGAGGGGCTGTGATTAACCAGGTATCACCTTCGATGTACTCTGTACCATGCGTGGTACAGTCGCCGGCATACTCAGCACTCGACTTCCACGATCGTGTGTCGGCCGGATTCTTCACGGCGAAGTCATACGAAGTACTTCGCTTGCAAGCGACGTGAAACCAATCATTTCCCTACTGTTCAGCAAGATGATCCCAAATCCATGAAGAGGGTCCCCTCTTTCCTCGAAAGGTCGATCGGTCACTTGGAACCCTTTGGTCAATCCCTAGATGATCCATCTTTCTTGCGAACCTGACGGTAATCGACGGCGACTCCCGTAATGGACAACTGCTTCCGAAGTCCAGTGGCCACCCAAAGCCGGGGAGATGGGACACCCTGTACCCCTTGCGGGACTCACGTCTGTGAACTTTACCTGTACGGATATGCTCACGCCTGCCCAACCGTCAGCGAGCATAATTCTATTTTGTACCGTTCCTACGCTTCCGGACAAGGTGACTCAATCGACCACATCACGGACAGTCTCGATACTAGAATGCGTTCTCACGTCTTGTAAGGCACTAAGCCCTGATGCTATAAGGTGCTATCAGCCATGTCCGTCTGCCGCCACCATGTTTGGTGATACCTGTTCACAAATAGAACTTGAGGACCTGGACCGTTGGACGTATGCACCCTTGGATACGACCAGGGATCCAGCTCCATCAAAGGCATCGTCGGGACCTTCGAGAAATTCTACCGAGACCAACAGAAAGTCCTCTTGCCCGAGAGGCGAAAGACAAGCACCCCTGATGAGATCCAACGGCTTTAGGCTTCAAGTGGATTCATCTCAAAAAAAATCTTTACTCCTTCATCCGACCCCACTTGCACGCATGAGCGCTTCGAGAAGCCCGGCTCGCTCCCGCGAAATGAGATCGTTGCTGATGCAGTTGGAACCGCGAGGTCTGCGAGTTGAATGAGGAGGACAGGGGGTGTGGAAAGGGTGCAGTGGATGACGCGAGACCTGTGATGAGAGTTCCTCGGCCTCAAGCTATCAAGCAGGCGTCATTTGTCTTTGTGAAGAAGCTTCATCTTTTGGCCGGTCTCTTGCATGCTGGGAAAGTCTTACGAGGGCCCTCTGAAGCGCCAGCCGCAGCTTCATGCCTCGTACGCTCTGCTACACGCGGTACGTGAAGTCTGATGGTGCCGTGGTCCACAAGCGGAAACAACATTAAATCATCACATCACTCCGGAGGAAGTAGATCTGAGATGATATTTGGTAGTTTCTTAGATGAGCGAGTATGCCATTGAGTCATGCTAAATGAGGCTTCCTGCAGCCTCGAAACCTTGACTGCTGCGGAGACCGCGCTGCGTCTACCGGATCAATAGGTTCTGTTTGGAGATTTCAGCGCTCGATGTTGGATCTGCGAACTTTGTGTTTCTTGATATGTTCTACGCGGCATATTCTCGACCACTGACAATAGGTCACTGAGCGCCGAATAGGGGCTTCTTTACGCGCAGTCACCACCGGCCAGTCTGTTGAAGTTATCTTGTGCATGATAGCGTGATCCGTAGCTATCGAGCCCGCGGTCAGGCGAGCTTACCCAGAACCAGCTCGACTTTTCGAAGTGCAGAAACGGGTATATGTTTGTATTGGACGGTAACCGGCGCTTCTTGAGACTGAAAGGGAGCTCAGCATGATTTCCTACAGCTTGGTTCCGGATACTCCGGACGTCACAATCTCCGTCCTGGGTGTTGGCTTCGTCAGCACCTTAGTTGAACCCCCTTTTCTAATGTGTCAGGGGCAAAAATGGAAGAAGAATGATGCACATCTTGCCGTTTAGGGAATAGGAAACTGTAAGAATTGAATATATGTGAAGATATCCGCGGCCTGTCTAGGCTTGTTGGTAGATCTGGTACGCAAAGTATGGCTTTAGGTGAGACGTTTTTTCTGTCCGCTTGATGATAGTCAAAGACGGACACGCGGTGGACTTCACAATGATGAGGAAGATGTATGGAAACTGGTACTGTTGGGATATAGTCGTGGGGCAGCTACCAAGACGTTGGCACTTGTGTGTTTCGTGGGCTCGGAATCATTAGTAGAATGCTGCCTCGCTCTTCAAGGGATGAGAGACACTATTGTAGACGAAAGCCTTGCGAGGTGAAGATGAAAAGTACTGTTGATGTCGTGTAGAGACGTCACCACGAAACAACTTGCCTTGCGTCGTCCCTCTTGATTCTTGAATTGCGGCCACGGTTTCATGGATGGTCTTGAGGGCGACTCTCCGTTAGACCGAAGGTATGAGTTTGATCATCTTCGCTGACTTCTCAATTTCTTTGGCCTGGTGTACATGGCTGTAACATCGACTACACAGCTCCATCTCGCGGTTTCCTTGCAGTAAGCTGTCTCCGACCTCCATGATATGATTTGTGAACACTGAGTCGTCACCCTGTAGTGGAATTGCCGCCACCACTGCTCAAATCTAATTTTTGTTGGATATTATCCTTTCCCTCTGGCTTCAACCGAACTCAACACCTTCGCCAGCCTCGTTGGGTGTTTCGAACAGCTTTAAGATCCTCTCAATTTAGTTTCGGCTTCCAAGGGCTCGGACATATAGAGCAGCTAAGACCGCATCACTTGTCTCCTTTCTAGTCTTCTAGGCCATACATGGATCGACTTCACGCGATGATCAATGTTCTTGACAGACAGCTTGGTGCCCCTCTCAATCAGATATGGTCCTGAGTATAGTATACAAGCAGGCAGGCTTGCCTCTTGGGTCTTATCTAAGGAAGGACTTCGTTGTGCGTTGGTCCCTTGCTCCATCAGATTAAGAGACACTTGGGTGGAAGACGTCCATCAAATGTAGCGTGCACGGTGGAGTTCGCCCGTCGGAACGTCTATGTGCCTGGTTAGGCTCCATGGTATTTTTGCCACTATCAAGGCCATTATCGAGGAATAGGCTTCTCGCAACGTCTCTGGGCGGGTATTCGCCTGTGATACACCGCAGAAGGAGAATGAAGGGCTCGAGGCAGACTAAAAGCAGTAGTGTGTAGTAGCCGAACGACAGAAGCTATGCACTCGGCTCATCAACAGATAATCGCCAGAGATACATGAGGATATCCATCTTGTGAGGGCGTTCACGTGTGCCATTGAATCCAACTACACTCGATGGAGTCACACTTGGTTTTGAAGAGCCAGAAGACAGATATCTGAATAATTGAGTCCCTCCTCGTTGAATGAATCCATTGGCGATGGACAATCTTCTCCATTGGCGTGGGTCCGTAAGTCGGTTGAGCTACGGCAGTAGAAGGGGACCAATCATTCTGGGGCTAGGCGGAAGGCGTTATTCTACTACCAATTCGATGATCCATGATTGAAGACCGAGGATGTATTCTCGATGCTATTTTCGAACGTATACCAGTCAGATACATTCAAAAACGGAGGTCCTGTATGGCCTTGTCATTACAGTAGCATCTGAATTTGGGTTTGGCTAACGTGACGATCTAGACCATGCCGGAATTTTTTTAAAACCTCGGGCTAAGAAGCAATAGCCAAGAATCAGTCTGCCGAGTCTGCGGAATGAAGGGCGGCTGCTACGACAGCTTCAGGGCAATTCAAGCTCAATCCTTGGCCGGATGGTACTCATGTCCACGTACTTGAGAATCCTAGGTCTTCGCGCAAACCGAAGCTGCATCGCTGTGAAGATGAAGGTCATGTGAAAAAGACAGATATAACAAGGCACGAGGCAAACGATAGACAACTTCAACGGGGAACTTGTAGTTGGATGTTAAACCTTTCTCATTGGCGAGGGGTATCTTGGTTCATCGATCTAAGTCAAAGCTAAATCCCGCTCCCTGACTCCAAGTGGCTGACCATGCCAGAGAGACCATCAAACAGTCTCGGCAACTTTTCCATTACATCACACCGAACCCTTTCATAATCTCAGAGACTATCTCCGTCTGCTACGCGTGGTGGCCGGCGCCGGCTCGAACGCATCCTCGTCCGAAATCTCATCATCGCTGATCTCGACAGCGGCTTGAGAGGCGGTAGCCTGCGAGAAGTTGAGCTTAGTCTGCCGGGTAGTCTTCGGAGCCGCACGTGCAGGCTGAGATCGCTTGCCCCGAGTAGTCGGTGGCGGCGGTGGCGGCTCTTCAAAGTCGTCATCCATCACCACGTCCTCTTCCTCGGATTCTTCCTCAAAGACGGGCTTCTTGCGACCTCGCGCGGGCGGCTTCTTGGCTGGAGCTTTCTTGGCTGGGGCTTTCTTCGCTGGGGCAGCTTTCGTAGCTCGAGTGGCTGTTGCTTTCTTTGCAGGTGCTTGACGGGCGGGGGGTTCGTCCTCGTCCATCAGGTCATCCTCATCATCCTGGGTAGCAGTCCTTCGTGACTTGGCTGTAGGCTGAGCGACAGCCTCGGTCTCAACCACTCCAGGCTGATCCTCCCAGTGCCCATCAAGGTCGGAGTCCCACTCGTCTGGCTTCGGTTTGACAGTACGCCTGGAAGTCTTCTTCAGGGCTCCCTTGGAGAAAGCCTCTTCGAGCTTCGCCCGATACGCCTCCATTGCAATATCCAAGTCATCCTCATCGGAGTCAAGGTTAAGCATTTGCTTCACCTGGCCGGCCAAAGATTCGCTAACGAACTCCTCCATCGCGTGCTTGTCGTCCTTGTTGACGAACTGGTTGACGGCATCGCCGAAGGGTGCCGTTGGCAGGATCTTCAGAGACTGGGCTGCGAGGAACTCCTGTACGAGGGCCTCCACTTTGATAGTGTCTAGACCTAGTGTTTCTTCGAGAGCCTCGGGAATGTCCGTGTCATTCGTTCGTCCTGAGTTGCATTAGCCTCAGTGAACCACATTGCGGGTAACAGAATAGCTTACTTGTGGCACCAGCCTTCTTGCGGTGGAAGTACACGACATCATTGGTGTTTGCCACCTTGCCGATGAACCTATTTGAAAATCGCTGGGGATTCTCGCAGTCGTACTGACCACCCTCCGGAGCTGTATACTCCACTTTGAGGCGAATCAAGGGCAGTGGAGGTTCCTCGTCGTCGTTCTCCTGGACAGCGAACCACTCCTCATTCGCCTCTTGAATCATCTCGTCTACAACTACCATCAGTCTCTTGGTTAACTCCTGCCTGTTTTCCTTCTTCGTGTGCAGCCCCTTAAACCGCGCATCGGTCGATAATTGGATCTCTTTCGTAATGAATGGGCGTACGGTCTTCAATGGTAATTTCTCAACCTTGAACTCTCTGCCTGTGACGTTCAAAATCGCCACGTGCTTTGGCACCGCCTCACCAGGGACCAGAGATGTCGCTACCGAGGAACCGGGTTGCATGACGTGGAAGCCGGTCTCCGGGTTCTGCTGAGGGTCAATCAAGCACTCGTGCTCATGGCCCCAGACTACAAGATCCATCCAGTCGGGTAGCACATTTTCGGGAAGATAGGATGTTGCAGTATGTGCGTGGTGGTTCTGATGTACAGTGAGCAGGTTGAACCAGTCTGACTGCTGGACACCTGGGCGGAACCACTTGACCTTGTGGTCCCTGAATGTTCGGAACATGCGCTCATCACGAACATTGCTCAAGCCGAATAGCGCAAGCTTGGTCTGACCCTTTTGTAGTAATACCGGCTTGGCTTCAATGTTGTCGGCCTCGGCAATGCGACCAAAGTAGTTGACCAGCCCAGCAACCTGGAGCAGGTCCAGGGAACAGAAGTGGCCCTCGCCGCTGGGATCATCGTGGTTGCCGTGGATCGAAAAGACGGGTATGGAGATGTTGATGTCGGGGTCTTCGTAGTTGACGTGAGGGAAGGCACCCTCAAAGACTTCGTTTGCATCGCTTAGGAACTCGAGCTCGCAGGGCTTCATGCCTAAGCAGTTCTTGCGAAGACTGCGCATGACCTGATACATGGACTTTCGGGAGGGCTTATTATCGTGAAAGAGGTCGCCGCCTAATAACACCATGTCGACCTGTGCTCCTTGTCAGCCGGCGAAGCACCACTTCGGGGCGAGGTATCTGCGTACATCTTGGCTCTTGGCGAGGTTCAGAATCTCGTCGAACGTTTTCCAGCTATCGTCCTTGCGAATCGGGTCTCGCTCCTCGTAGCCGACATGGTTGTCTGTCGCAACCAAGATGCGGATAGTGTCCGCTTCTGCACGTGTGTTAGAGCTGTTTGGCGGTATGTAGCCGGGGGGAGAGGGGGAGGGGGGAGAAGGAAAGATTACCTGTAAAGTCGGGCATGATGTCGAGCGGACCAATGGGTCAGTCCCAGGCCGACTCTAAGTAGTGGTGAGACTGGTCTATCGACCGAGAGTCTACTGTAGTATCGAGCAAGGTACTCAGGTAGTTGCTTGAATTGGAGAGAGGAGTTCAGTGGTGGGTGCCCGCCGTTGGCGTTGGGGTTTAAGTGGCCGTCGCGCGGCGCGCCTCTCCAACAGGCAGCGACGCGAAATCCCTGGCGCCACAGCTGCGCACTCACGTGGTGGAGGGGTCCTCCTGGCTGGCCCGTGCTTCTGTGGCTACAATTACCACCGGGACACACCTTGTCTGCCGAGTCCTCACCTCGATATCCGTACCTTCTCCGTACACCTTGGCCGGCGACGGTGAGGTGGTGAGATGAACCGGGCCGAGAATTAAGCTTACTCCGAGGGTTTTCTGCCCCTGGCCCGTTGCTGCTCTTCATCCAGTCTTTCCTTCTCACGACCGCGGATAATCCCGTGAGGCCAACTTTAACCGTCGTTCACATCAGTCTGAAAAGACTCTCGATGACTGACATTCATGGAATGGGCATCTTTACCCCTGCTACTAGGCCTACTATTGCTGGGGAAGTGCTCCGGCTCTACCTGGGCTCCTTAGTGGCAGAGGAACAGCCAATATCGGACAGGCTCAAGGGCAAAGCGCCTGAGGCGGCCTCTCGACCTCTCTCTGAGTACGTGCAAAGCCTGAAATGCTTGCTTGTAATCCAACTGGACTTTGTGCCGTAGCTTAGTTTCTTGAGGGAGTCAAGAATACCGAATCGTCGAAACACAACCTGGTCGGCAGCCAGTCAGTATTCAGCGAGTCAAGATATGCATCCCTCGTGTGATCGCTCTCTCGTATCGAAAGCTCGAAGCTCTGGGATGCCATTTGCGGCAGACCCCTCCGTCATCACCATTCAAAAGCTTGGGGACGGTGAGGCCATGGTGCTGGGCCATCGGCAAGGAGGTGGTGGGCGAAGTTCTGCCGATCAATCAATTCTCGACTATTTCAGTTGCCCGTCCTGGCCATGCTTGCCAATAGTGCATTGACTTGGTAAAGCCAAGACTCTGGCTTGTCTGTGCAACCCTACTCCGTACATAGATGCCCCGTTTCTTCTCAAAAGTCCCTCGACGAAAACAGAAGGTTGTTCTGACATCACATATCTCTTTGGCTTTGCTGTCTGCGAGGCAGATCGTCGTGGTGGATGCTGCTCAAGAACCCCATTTGCCCAAGGCGACCCAAGGGCCAAGACAACTTCTCATCTTCCATAGTAGGTAGTCCGCCACGACAAACACTAAGAGAAGTTTGTTGGGCAAGAGTGTCTCAACTGAGTCAACTCCTACACAGTAGAAGCGAGCAGATACTTGATTAAGCCTAAATAGGGAGGTTGAACGGCGCTGCCCTGGTTGGATAGTTGGCCGCCTTGGCGAGAGCTTGGCATGCACGTTCAACGGAGCGTTTAATGTCGCGATACCACCGCACCCCGCTAGCGCCGGCTTTCAAAGCTTACTCGCCCTCCCAACTTCATCTCCGAAGGGAGTCAAGGACCGTCCGGTCTCGCTGGACTGTGGCCCATCGATGCACCGAAATCATCGGATCTCTTATCGGCCCTGGGAATGATGGGAACTTGTGCGGGTGCTCTTTCGTGTTCCAGTGCTTCTCGGTCTCTTCCGACTCATGCAACTCGTGCATCCAACGCTACCCAACCAGGACGCGAGGAGGCATCAAGCATCGCCTCAAATCCTCAGCTCAGCTCCATATGGCCTTTGGCATGCCAAGATCGTCGTATTTCAGAGTCCACGAATCAGAACCAAAAGTCTTTCCCCAGGTGGTTCAATCCCGCTGTTCACGCCGTGCCCGGCCCCGTTGAGTGGCCCGTCGCTCATATTGAATTCTCAGTTCAACCTCGATAAGGAAGGCATTCTAGCTTACCCCATGGCCTTCATTCCCGCGCATCCAGTTTTTCTTGATCTCAGAACTTGTCTTCTTCTAAGCCTGCTTTAACTGACAGAGCCAAAGATTGCCTTGAACTGATCCGGAAGGTCGCAAACATCTTAGTTCCCGACTGACTCCCGAACCCATTACCATGTATCATTCGAACGAGAAATATCGAGACACGCTCGAGAGAATGCCCACAAGTATATATGTGTTGTCAATCCCCCACCATCAAGGTCCTTCTTCTCTCTTGCTCCCCATCCCTCTCAGCTCTATCAAGTCCCGGTCCCCTTGTCCAAGCCTCGATCCAATCGGTCTAGCTCTTCATCATGCAGTTCAAGCTTTCTGTCGTTGCGGCCCTTGCCGCCGCCGCCTCCGCCGCCGTTACCCCCGCCCGTCTCGGCTGCGGTACTCATGATCCTACCCCTGAGCACATTGAGATCTCCAAGAAGCTTGCCGAGGAGGAGGCTGCCAACAATGGCACCGTGAGCCTGATGGCGGCGGCTACCATCAACGTCAACGTCTACTTCCACGTTGTTGCTTCTTCCCAGACTGTGGCAAACGGCTACATCACCGTGAGTATCGACATGGTACCTTACACTTGGAATGTCATTATCTAACAGTTTCAACAGGACAAGATGCTGGCTGACCAGCTGGCTGTCATGAACAGTGACTTTGCCCCCCACGGCATCAGCTACACCCTGGTCGAGACCACTCGCACCATCAACGCCAACTGGGCCCAGGATGGTGACGAGATGGCCATGAAGCGCGCCCTCCGCAAGGGTACCTACAAGGACCTTAACCTCTACTTCGTCCGCACCCTCGGCGGCGACTTTGGGTACTGCTACTTCCCCACCACCGCCGCCGCCGGCTCCACCGCCTACATCCGCGACGGCTGCACCATTCTCTCCTCCACCGTGCCCGGCGGCAGCGAGACCAACTACAACCTCGGCAAGACCGTCACCCACGAGGTCGGCCACTGGTTCGGTCTCTACCACACCTTCCAGGGCGGCTGCACCGGCGAAGGTGACTCCATCGCCGACACTCCCGCCCAGGCCAGCTTCTCCACCGGATGCCCTACCGGCCGTGACTCCTGCCCTAGCCAGGCTGGTCTTGACCCCATCCACAACTACATGGACTACTCTTACGACTCGTGCTACGAGGAGTTCACTCCTAACCAGCAGACTCGCATGTACAGCTTCTGGAACCAGTACCGCGCATAGAGTGGTTGTTTGCTTGGGGATTGTTCTATCATTTAGCATGATGTTACATCAGAAGCGTAGAGTAGCGGAGCTTGAATAGAGGCTGATGAGATTTGATGAGATCTATGAATAGGGGTGGCTGAGGGCTCTGGAATATGAGCTCCATGTAAATAGAACCATCAGGTGTCTTGACTTTAGTATAATACCCTAAGAATATTGACTGATTCATAATTCTTCAAAGACAATATTCTCTTCCACTCTGACCGATGTCTTGCTCGATTCCTTGGTAAACTTCACGCGCAGCGCCGGGAAGCTTACACTGGTTGCCTTTCCGTCATCATCGATAGTGAAAACAACCTCATCTATGGCAATGTTGCCGTATGTAAGCGACCCAGCACCTCCCCATGTCGATCCGCACTTCTTTCCCAGTATGGGCTCCCGACGTGACGGTGCCGCATCATCAGGATTCGAGAACACGGCTCGGAACGCGACTTCGCCCTGATCTTGAAGTCCTATGAACTGTAGATCGGCACCCTGAAACCCAAGTTTCCTGCCCACCTCTGAGAAGAAGTCCGTGCCATTGAGCACTAGCTTCTGGAGTGTGAGGCCAAATCTGCCGGGGACGAGCGACAACTCGGCCCGGGAGTCCGATCCGTCGTCGGCCACATAAGTGCCAGCAAGGTCCTCACCCGCCGCCTCCCGGCCCGCGGCCTCGGCGGCGGGGATCCACTGCTCCAAGAGCATCTCGCTGAGGACGTCGAACGTAGAATCGGGTACGCCATCGCCGTAGGCCGTTTTGGAAGCCACCAAGAGCGTGAAGCCGATGTTGTGGTCGGGCGAGAGGATGAGGTAGGTCAAGTAGGCCCCGATGCCGCCGTTCTTGGTGTACAGATCCACGAGCCGAGTGTGCTTTGAGCCGGGAGCTGCGGCGACGTCCATCCGAGTGATTTCCCATGGTCTTCCGACGGCACTGTGGGTGTGCTGGGTATGCGTTACCGGTCGAAGCCATTCGCGGGTTGCTGCTTGGGGTAGGATGGACGATGCGAGGATGGAGCGGCTGATGGCAGAAAGGTCGCCCAAGGAAGAATATACGCCGCCGGTCCTACAGGAGCTGGTCAGCTTCAAAAAGAAGTAAACAGTGTAAGCTGTTGACTGCTGGCAATCGGTCTCACGGGGTATATGAGGCTATTCCCTCCTGAAAAGGGTAGCCTATCAACGACTTGATCGCCGACGGGGCGAGTTCAACAACGTTGGCGTTGGGGTCGTCTTTGGGCGGATCCCAAAATGTTCGAGACAAACCCAGAGGCTCTGCAACACTGGTCTTGAAGGCATCTCCTACGGAGCCACATGTGATGTTCTCAAACACCCACCCGATGAGCTGAAAGGCCTCATTACTGTACACCGGGGTGTGCCAGGTTGCCGTAGCGGGATACTGCTCCAGCAAGGAATTGAGGACTTCTATATATGACGGGTTCAGCAAATATCATCCCAAAGAGAAACGTGAGAATGGATCACCTTCTCTGGTACAAGGTCGCATCTCCGGCAGACCGCACTTGATGATGTCGGACTCGTTCAGGTAAGGGAGTCCCATTTCCTCGATACCAGGCATACCAGATAGGTCGACGAAGTGATCTGATAATTGTGAGCTATCGATGGTCACAGAGGTAGACGGTAGTCTTACTATTGCGTGCGATACCACTCATATGGCTGGCCAAACCTCCCAAAGTCACCTCAGACCATTGCGTCCGATGCGCCCGGTACCCTGCCTGTGCGTCAGCAAGCTCCGGGATGAAGTTGGTGATAGGCTCGTTCCAGTACTTGGGGCCCAGCTTGACGAGAATAGTGTACACAGTCAATAGCTTGGTG